CCATATTTGCCAGATATTGCTCCCAGTGATTATCATCTTTTTCGGAGTTTGCAGAATTTTTTAAAAGGAAAAACTTTTGAGGATGAGAACAATGTAAAAAAGGCTATTTCTGAATATTTTAATTCAAAACCGAAATCATTTTACAAAGACGGGATTAAAAAGCTACCATCAAGATGGCAAGAAATTGTACAAAATAATGGTGAATACATTATAGATTGAAATAAAATTTAGTTAAAATTTTTTGTTGCTTTTTTTGTAGATAAAAATGCGCACGAACTTATGGACTGACCTGATAGTTTGGTAATCTCTGTAATTGTATCTGCATAATATTCAAAAACAGTTCTCTAAGCTCTGCTGCAGAAATTTCATCTTTAATAATATTGCTCAGTCTTTGACTTATAGTTTACATACTGCTTGGAGATAATCTAACAAAATAAAATTTACTAACAAAAATAAAGATACAACTTTTCCATTAATTCTAATACTATTCTAAATAATGCAGTTTACTCTATCTTGATTTTAAAGCACTTTTCAGCTAATAATAATTTGCAATTGAAACTTGACAATTTAATAATGTAGCATTCTTAGAAAAAGAGAAAATATCATTACAAATATGATTCAATCCAAAAACTTGACATTTCCTGGATCTGATGGTATTTTTGCAGTTCTTTATCACAATATTGCACTTCTTGCCACCACTGTGTTTTCTTTGCTGTCTTTAGATTAAACATACAAAATTGTTTCATTCCTTTTAGCAGTACTTTTGTTATTGCCATTATAAAAGAGACCTATTCTTATCACTAATCACTATTTCCTTGACCATACTTAAGATCTTCAAAGCTTCCTCTATAATTTACTATACCCTTAAATCTTTTTATCTTCATCCAGCTCAACATTATTGTTTAAAAAAATAAGTCAAAACATTTAATATAAGCAATACTCATAATTATAATTATTTGCTTTTTGTCCTATATTGTAATTAATATTCTTAATAGCTATATGTAATTTGCTATAAATATTAAGGACTTTCCAGTTGAAAACCATGGTGTGATAAGTCCTTAAAATTTATAGCAAATTACATATAGTTATTAAGAAGATTATAACTCTGAGTATTGCTTATTATTGTTTGTTTAAAACTCTGTAATATGTATAGACTTCTTAACTCTTGTATTTGACTTCATAATTTCTTCAATATTAATTCAAATTTTGTTACTCTGTTGGATAAACCAATAAGTTAAATGAGGTATTATAAGTATTGTACATAAAAGATTTATTTACAGATTAAAATCAATTATATGAATTTTCTGAACTTATCTCTCATGTTTTGTTTTTTTCTTTTATTTTAAATTCCATTTTTCTTTTCATTTACATTGATGTGATATTTTATAAATTGCAATTGGTACCATTTGCTTATTATTTAAAATTTTAATGTAAATGGCATAACTTGCTGAAATAATTAGTAGTTGATAATGTGAGCCTGTCATAATCTTAAGATTTTACTGAACACATGCATGAGTTTTTCAGTGAAACCTTTTAATTTTTGCATTTGTATTAACCAGTTTCCTTTCAAATTATGTTCCATTTATTTGTTTATTTCTGTTCCCATGATAAATAACAATTATACAATTTCTTGTAAGGCTATTTTATGAGCTTTTTCTTTATTATAGTTTCAGTCTTTCAAAGACTTAAGTTACTGTTTATCCATCTGCTTCAACTGTTTTCAGATTATGGAAAACATGAAACATATCTTAATGTTTTCTTTATGAATTAGCCATTAGGCTCCTATCTGAAGTTGAAAAGTATCTTGCAATAATTATTTTAATTTTCATTTGTTGGGAGTGCTTCTTTTGGGAAGTTGTGCTGCCTTATTACATGTATTATTTGTATAAAAATAAATTAGTAACCTTTATTTAATATTCCAACAATTAGCAATTTGAATCCATCTGTTGGCACTTGCATTTTCTTTGAACAATGACAGTGAAGTATTCCAAACAATTTTTCTATGGAATCAATCACTTTTGTGAGTCAAAATTAGACATTAAAGCATTTTGTACAATCATAAAAACAATAACTTGAAGTGTGATGTTTGCAAATTCCTTTCTTATATTTACATAGCGTGATTATAATAAATGTGATGTAATTTAGCATCAATTGTCAATGTAAACATCATTTAATAACTGTCATGAATAAAATGCATTGTTAGAGAATAGAAAACATTAAGTTGATGTCAATCACAATATATATTAAAAATTAAGTATATTGATCTGTTCATATCAAGTTAATAGTATTTTAGTATATTAATTTTCAGAGAATTGGCTAAATAAATTTTCCTTTGTTTACTTTTTTTCTATCCAAATTACACCATTCCTTTCTGTCTTATATAGTTTTGAATATTGACCATAGAAATATTTAAAACTTATTAATTTTAAAATTAGAGTCGGATGATGAAATGGTGCAACTCCTTAATAACCTAAAAAGAGCAGAATTAACAGTCGATGGTGTCGACGTCCGAACTCGTCGTTGTCGTACATTGTTAAGAGAAGAGAGGGGAATCAGTCAGATGATGAGATCTTATTTTGCATTACAGCGAACCCTAAAAGTAAGTTTTAAAAGCTAGTCAATTTTAGTATTTTAATTGATTCTCAATGTTGTCATTACTTCAATACAGGACCGAGAGAATGAACTGAATGCAATTGATGCGCTATTAGAAGGAAATATATCCTCGGAGGAACTGGAGCATTGGGCAAGCAAGTATCCACATTATATGCCTCCAGAGTATTGTTAATATTTATATTATTAAAATTCACTACACGAACTTACTTCTAGTAATATATAAAATCTGTATTTAAACGAGTGTATATTTTATATATAAATTGCCTTAATAGACCTTTTTAGTGCTGTATATATTTATGATGTGCCAAGAATCAGTCAGCTTTTTTATTTAAATTTGAACGATACCAATATTTTTTAGGTTGACAAAGTTTCTATTTTGATAGTAAAAGAGCAAAACTATATTTTGAATATCTGTATATGTCGATGTGAAGAAAAAATTTGTGGTTTTAATGCTTTGAATTTTATTGAAACTATATTTGCATTGTTGATTCTTTTGTTATTTAAAAATTGCATCCCAACAATTTAAATATGTTATGTACAAATATATAGCTCAAAGAAATGTGTTTAACAAAATAAATTTTAAATATGTTATACCAAATCTGATATCATTTATTCACTTGTTAGTAGTAAATGCATTACATTAAAATGGTCTATATTATAATATATGGAATTTATCATGGAATATGTTCATGCTATTGAACATTTTTATTTGGAATTTAAAACCTTATCTGAAATACTGAATATGACAGACTCGAATTCGAAGTTTCCTATTTTGGACAATAAATTGTCATAGTCGAGTTTTATCATTTTGATCTAAAACTTCTTTCTCAACCATGGATATTTCTGTATTTATGCCTTTTATAGGATTATAAGCTTTCCTGAAAAATATTTACATTTTATTTTTACAAATATTCTCATTTATATAAATTATTTGTAGAAATACTTACGTTCCAAATTGTTCACCTTCTTGAATAGTGTCAGGCAAGCTACATTGGTGAGTTTCCGGCAAAAGCAGGACAAGTAAACCACTTACTACCGACAGTCCACCATAAACTGCGTATGGAACTTCTGGTTTTGTAGCTTTCCCCTAGGAAATTTTTATTTTAGAAACTGAATTTGATAACTAAACCATTTATATTGACACTTACTAATTCTTTAACGAAAGGTGCAACCATAGAACCTATTCTGGCACAAGTTGAACTAGAGCCTACTCCAACATTTCTGACAACCGTGGGATATATTTCGGCAGAAAAAACATACACTATACCAAAAGATGCAGTTATGCAAAATTTTCCAATCATTGCCAAGCTTATTTTCAGCCACAGAAGATCTTTTGGAAATTTTTAATAATTAAAAGATTTTTAATCAATTATCCAAAAAACATTACATAACTTAACTTACCATCACCAATTGGAATGGTCAATACACAAGCCATTCCACCTATTACCATTGTGGCCATCTGCGGAATTCTTCTACCAAATATCCGAATGACAAAAATAGAAACCACATAGGCAGGAAACTCAATTGCACCAGCAATAAAAAAATTGATGAAGGGATTGCCTCCAAGATCGTTTGTGTTTAGAGATAAACCAAAATATATAAACGAATTTACAAACCTAAAATACATTTGATTAAATACACTGTATTTGGTTTAGTGTTAAAATATCAAATATATTTACCAACAAAAATATAAATTGAGTGTTTTCTTCCTCATATTGGGAGTTCTTAACAAACTAAAAATTGTTGCTTGTGTTTTCTTTGGTGCTTCAGCCTTAAAATAAAAATAATTAGTATTAAGCATATGCAGTATATATAACACATTTAAACTAAGACAATGATTTCACATAAAATAATATAATCCCTCTTACAGAATTTGAAATGGAAATTTTTGTGATAACAACAATAGAATAACTTACTTTAAGTATTTTATATATGAGTTTATACCTCGTATATAAAGCTAGATGCAACCATACCAGATGGAAATTTTTGTACCAAATTTGTCAACTTCAGTATTTTTATTTTGTTTGGTTCTTGAAATTCATCAATTTTTAGCTTCTAAAGATGGCTTTTTAATTTATCATTAGTTCTTATTTTTTAAGAAATTGGGGATTAACACAGTTTTATAAATTTTTCCCTTAAATGAAAAGTAAATTGATATTAATAAAAAAACACTGTATTCTATTTTTGATTTAGTATCCTTGAATTTCTCAAAATTCAGAAAATCTGTTATTTCATGAAATAATCACAAAACATTTTGTTATACTTTAATTTTCATTTTTAAATTACTTAGCATACTGTATTTGGAAACAATACATTTATTTAGTTTATAATGACCTGTTGAAAAAAATGGACATTATATCAGACCAGCAGATGAGCCCGGTGTTGCCCGGGCAAAAAACAACCAAGATTAAGATTATTAGATTATTTCGTACTTCTAATCCTTCTATTCTAGTAGCCCAGGACACCCCCCCTAGTGAGTGTTCTAGCAGCAGCAGTGTCATTCTGTGATATAAATAATAAATTCCTATTACAAATAAAAATAATAATATACTGAATTTATTGTTAATTTAAATAATAGCTAGGGGCGTCCCTAATGGCCATTTTTGGCATACAGTGACAGAAAGAAAGAAAGAATCTAGTTTTTCAGCTTTATATAGTTAGATTTTCCAGTTTTGATGGATTGTGCTAGTTAAGCCATATTATTTATGAAGGTTCAAAATTTTAAATTTTGGAGTATTTTTCTTTAAGGATATTTTAATTTTAATGTTTTCTAATTATGAAATGACATTTGAAAAAGAAAACAAAAACAAAAAAAAAGTGGTTACTAGATTTTATGAATGCACATGCACTTTTTACATAATGTCTTGTAATTATTATGTTAATATTGGAATTACCATTATGAATTAAATGGAAAAATTACAAAAAATAAAGCTTTTATTTTACTGTACATAAAAATAAAAATGCTGTAGAAATAAATATGCATAATTTTGATTAAATGTTAAGATGTATTTTCACTTGAGCATGTAAAATTATCTTCTTGTTGTTTAAACATTTCAAAGACACTTTAACAGGATCCCACCATTTACATGGATGCCACCATTTACATGATCCCACCATTTACATCATTACATGGAATTACATGGACTATAAAATAGAGAAGATCCTGATCCTGGCCAATCTCTAAGCATAATGCTATTAGTCCATATCAGGAGCAAGTTGCTAGATCAAGGATCACTAAAAAGTGATTCCACCATATTGTATTACTTTGCTATCTAAATATTTTGATGTTAATCTGATTTTTAAAAATTTTGCACTGTACAAAAACTTTATTTTGTATATTACAAAATAAAGTTTTTGAACTATAAATGAAAGAACTATAAATTTTACTTAATACAGAAGTGCAATCTAAAAATGGCTTTTAAAAAGTCCACGAAAAATAAAATATATTTGAAACCAAATCTTTGTATCTTCAGATCATTTATCAAAGAGAATAGTTTTTAAAAATTGATGTCTATTGTTGGATTTATTCATTCAACTTAAATCTGGAACTCTTAAACAGCCTGCTTTTTAAAAAGTCTTCAACAACAAACAATCTGAAAATAATCATCTTCGAGACTAATCTCTTATTATTTTTCGAAGACTTCATCTTTATGACTCCTTATGATAAAATGCAGAAATTGGAACTTTCTTTTCATTTCTTACATATAAAATTTCTGTTGAACAATTTTGAGTTAACATTGATTTGACGAAAAAACATTTTTGTGAAAATACTAAATTATGATGAACCAAACATGTCAACAGCTCAAAGTATTAAAAGTATGTAACATGTAAGTGACAAAGTAAATCTTTCAAAAGAGCATTTTTAATTAGTTAAGCTTTGGACATTTGTGATCTAATTATTAGTAAATAAAGTCTTATCTTAGTGCACTTCTTCTTCTTCTTCTTTTGTCCCTAGCTGACATTTGGTTGCGGGTGTCTGCGCAACCAGTATGCTGCTGTGGGTGCCGCAGGAAGTCGAGCTTTCTCCACAATGCCCCTCCAATGCCCTCGATCCATGGCCGCCGCTTTTGCCTGGTTCAGATCAAGCCGTTGGTTCTTGAGGTCCTCCTCAACGTGTTTAGTCCATGTTTTCTTAGGTGCGGAGTGTTGGATTTTCCACAGATTAGGTCGCTGTCGGAAGAGCAGTTGGTGGGGAATCCGGTTAAAATCCATTCGGCACACATGGCCAAACCATCTCAGCCGTCGCTGTTGAATTTGTGTCTTAACAGATGGCTGTTGTCGGCATCTGGCCCGGATGGCATTGTTGGTGATGCGATCCCAAAGGGAGATACCAAGAATCTGTCTCAAGCATTTCAATTGAAAGGTCTCAAGTTTGTCCAAGTCTGTCTTAAGCAAGGTCCAAGTTTCTGACCCATAGAGAAGGATTGGTATGACTAGTGTACGGAACAGGCGGATCTTGGTCATCAAAGAAATGTTCTTCTTTCTCCATACACACCATTTGAGTGAGGCAAATGCATGGGCTGCCTGTCCAATACGGGCATGAGTTTCTTTTGACGATGCCACTTTCTTCTCCTGGATCAGTGACCCAAGGTATTTAAACTCTTGTACCTGCTCAATTTGGACTCCATTAAGGTAAACAGTTGCCCGCGATCCATCCGTTGTAAGCACTTTGGTTTTGTCCACATTTATTTTAAGACCATATGACTGAGCGATAGTGGCTATATCATAAAGCGTATCTGTGGCCACTACATCGTTGTCAGCGAAGACGGCACTGTCGTCGGCAAACATTAGATCAGTTAGAAAGTGGCCATCCCCAAACTGGACACCACATTTCCCATCAAATGTCTTCCTCATAATTGAATCCACCACAATATTAAACAATAGTGGAGAGACCACGTCTCCCTGGCGAACTCCTGTCTGGATGGTAAACTCCTCAGATAGTTCCCCCCGGATTCGCAGTTGACTGGTGGAATCTTTGTAGGCTTCCTTGAGTAGTGTGATAACTTTTTGTGGGACATGCTCATTCTCAAGTGCTCTCCATAGCGCAGGCCTGTGCACACAGTCGAATGCAGATTTGAAATCGATGAACAGGACAATGGTCCGTTTGCCGCATCTGGTCCTTTCCTCAATAAGCTGACGCAGGGCAAAGATTTGATCACAGCAACCACGACCAGGACGAAACCCTGCCTGTTCTTCTCGGCTGGTTTCTTCACGGTGTTTTTGTAACCTTGATTGGATTATCTTCATAAATACTTTGCCAACTTAGTGCACTTAAATGACAGAAATAAATTGAATGATATTGTAATGTAGTCAGTTATTTTATTGCAATCAATTATCATTTATGAAACTATTCTAATTATAAAAATTAATAAAGCTGAAATATTTTAAATTTATCTTTGATGATGAAATTTATTTTGTTACAGGTTTGTTTTGTAAGCTATTTAAAATTTTTTCTCCTAAATTATAATAAGACAAGTGGGCTTCAATTAATTCCATTGTGTTATAATTTTAAAAATTTCACAATTTGTTTTGAAATTTAATGAGGTTGTAATTTAAATTTAAATAATAAATGATAATGACATAAAAGTAATGAAACAATAATAATAATAATCATCAATAACATCATCAATAACAATAGAAGATTACTAGATATTAATGATGACAAAATATACTCATTAATTTTATTAATGAATATATTTTATATATTTTTTTTATTAATAATTTATGTAAAATAAATATGAAAACTGTACAATTTTAATTTGTAAAAGTTAAATTTAATGTGAAACTATTTTTATTGAGTTAAATTCAGAATTATTAATCATAAGAGGAAAACATTTTATATTACAAAATTTTTCCAATCGTTAAGTATTACATCAGCCTTTAGTGTTGTTAATTATTATATTGTTAGTATCTATATAAAGTGTTGTTAGAAATATACAGGGAATAGACAAAAAACTATGCCAGACTATTACCTGCTTTTGCTACATATTAGTGCACAAGAGTATAAGTAATCGGTATTGGACTATTTGAAGGAAAATCCTATCATCTTGGCTCTTTTGAAAGATAGCATCGCAATTTAAATTAGTCACAAAGGATCTTGAAATTAATATGGTAGAATTCCACTGTCTTAACACTCTAATAACTTGACATTTTTTTATATTTTGGTTGATGTAACATATTATTCTATGGGACAAAACCTTGTTTTATCAAAATTGTTGATAGATGACCTCATTAACTCAACCTATGTTTGATGAAATAATTTAAATAGAAAAGGCAAGTGTTTATGAGAATCTGCAATCCTATTGTGTGAATGGCACATCTATACAGTTTACTTTTCCCTTGTCTCTTTCTCACCCAAATTCCCATCCCACATAGATGCTATTATCTCAATCTCTTCAACTAGGAAAAACCTTAGGGGACACTGTATAGTTACAGTTCTGCCTATTAAATGCTCAAAATTAATTTTGTTCATTTGCATATAATAGCTGACTGTGTACAGCAAATTTTTACAGTGACCCTACAAAAGCTATAGGCATTAACACTTAAAGTAAAAAATTTTAAGAAAACTCTAAGATGCCATGCCATAAGCAGGCTGATGTTGCAAAAAAATACAGCATCATGTATACCAGGCATGCCGTCCTTGGAAGCTGTGGAAGTGCTGCTTCCCTTGTATTTTCTAAAATATAAATACATATTGTGCGATTATTTTCATATTTTAACATACTTTAAATTAATTAATATTTTATTATAACCACATTATGCATCTTATTACAAATTTCTATAATACACGTGAAAAAAATGATAAGATTGCTATTGTATATTCGAATATCAGTAGCGGAATAAATGATTAAATCACATGTAGATTTATAACTTAACTCATTGTTAGGAGTTTACTGGTATGTTTTTATGATAGTTCTGTATACTTGACAGGAGTTTAAAAAATCCATTAAAATATTTGATATATTTATTCCACTCTCCGATTTTATATTACTCACGGATTTCAATGTTAAGCCGGCGATATTACAATTTCGTATGTCCCATCTATAAGGGGATGTAGAAAAAAACGTGTACAATTCTTGTATAATGTTAAAAAATTAACCGTTACTTCGACAGTGTCATTTACGACTAAATTTAATGAATGAGAGAGATGCACCAGGTACAGAAAAAGCTCTAGAATTGATTTTCCTTAAATTTACGATTTATATATTTGTTGACATAAAAATTTGTCTTTCCACTACTTTCCCAAGATTACAAATATTCAAGTACAAAGTAACAAGTGTTTCAGCTTATTTCTACTTAAGAAGTAGTTAAATAATTAAGAGATTAGGGAATTAGGACATAAATAAAACCCTGCTGAAAGTGTCAGAATTTTACTTAAACAAAAGCTTAACCAAACCAATCTCTAGCTGAGTACAGTGGGGACTGATTTCTTCATAATATTAGATAATAAAGACAGAAATTTTTCCATTTCAATGAGAGTGACCGAAAAGTTGTAAATTTTGGAAATTTCTGTGGACACCTGGTCCTAAAACAAATTAGAAAACAAATGACAGACAATCTATTAAGTTTAACATATTTAGATTTTTACAGCTATGGTGAGAAATGTTTAAAATGTACTACAACCCTGTCGCGTCCTTTGAGGTATACGAGTGATGCGACAAAAGAGGCATTTGACATTGACCAGTATCAGCACCCTCGGGATTTGGCAGCCCATGTGCATGCACCTATCAGGACCATCTCTTGATTCCATCCATTAGCCACTCGTAGGGAGCTATTTGACTAAGTGAATTGTATTAAGATTTAAAAAGTAAAGAATATGTTGTTATTTTTATGTACATTTCTTTACAAAGCTATATTTAATTATAATTTTCTTTAAAAGTATATTCATACAATTGAAGAATATTTTGTACCAAGTATGTATATCCACCACACATTTTATTTCACCAAGTAAGTTTTTATTATTTTATTTATAATTTTAGTCCTTATATCATGGATAGCGATTCAGAACATAATTGTGATACTAAAAATACATTTAGAGAAGTCTATGGTTTTTACTGGCTTATCAAACAAACGGATACGAATGGACCCTAGACCATCACTGATGCACAATTAACTGATTGCCCTTGGAAGTCAGCTTCTTACAGAAACACAGCTTCCCTATCATCAAATGTCATGGCACGCCATTGACGTACACAATGGTAATGATATTTGTGAAGAATAAGGAGGAAATTTTAAAGGCTTTTGGATTGACAGAACCTATAAGAAAATACAAGTAGACATCCAACTTTGGTCTTGTCAAAGAAGCTATTCTAACATAGTTTGTTAATAAAATTTTTGCAAATGATTCAAATTTTCCTTTCCTGCATTACAGTAATTTATATATGCATAAAAAATTATTGTCTACATTTATGCAAAGTTTTATTAGCCAATTTCATTAACTGCTCTATTATTTTATGTATTGTAGTAAGACAGTACTGTATATACAATTTGCCAGACTTTCTGTTTTTAATGACACAGTCAACCATTAAAATTTCAAATTTTTCAAAGCCTGGCTAGAACGACAGACTTCATAACTTGACACACTTTCTCGTGAGGTGTCAAAATAATTACCAAAACAGTTTCAGCTTTTACTATTTTTGAATAAGCTACAAGAGGTTTTCAATGAATTATTAATATTGATAAAAGTAAATATTATGTATTACTCCAGAATTTTACCATTTTTGTGTGACAAATTAATTTATAACAATAGATAAAGCAATGATTTATAGCAGTTTTCTGCAAAGACACTTAGAGGTGCCACAAAAAAAATTTATCAAGTGGAGTACCTGCCACTATTAGGAGATCAAAAAAAAAAACACAGAAATAAAAATTGTTTACTTGAACTGTTTCTTTACTTACTTACTTAAATGAAAATATTTGACTGATTCAATTTAGTATCAATAATCATAAATTCAGAAATCTGGTGTGTACTACTAACATATAATAAATTTATTTTAAAATTTACTTTGCTTGATTTTTTTCTTTCATAATTTTGAATTTATCATATTCCTAAATCACTATACAGCTAAAAGGATTATAAAATTTTTACTTTATTTGCATATTTATTCTATTATATGGTGTAAAATGTCAAATTCTGCTGCACTAGAACTTTCTTCTGTATTCATTCATGTATTTTATATCCATTTCCATGTGTAATCATGCTATAATTTAGAAGTTTACTAATATATTTGATTTAATAATAACTAGAAACATATTTATCATAATCTATTATCAATGTTATACGTTATTATAAAATATATCAATTACTTTTAATTAGGAGTAATGTTGCAACATTTTATGGAGTTCAAATAACATTATTTTTTAGTGGGAAAAAATAATGTATTTAATATTTTCTTAATTATTAAACATTTAAAAATGCTTACTTTTTCTAAGTTGTTCCTTATTTGCTTGAATGCATTTTTGGCTTCCATGAGGTTTTTATTATTTTTCTTGGCCGCTGTCGTGACGACTTTCTCCGCTTTGTCGAAACGGTTATTGGTTAGCAGCCAACGGGGAGATTCGGAGATGAACCTTGAAAAAGCGCTCAATCATATACCTGAAAATCCCATACCATCAAGAAGAAAAAAACAAAATACGTGTACGGTATTTAGTGAAGAAATGACCATTAGACAGTTGTCGGCAAGAGTAAATTTTTACGCTACAGTTGTACATTTTAAATAAATTGTCTTTAAATTTATATTATTTGAGAATTGTATTTCCTTTACGTACCACCAAGATGCAACTAGTACAAAACAAGGGATGGTGATGGCCATCTGAATGTAGAACCAGTCTCTCAACCACCAAGCGATGCCTGGAAGCAGAATGTAGCCCAGCGCCCAACCGAAATTATATCCGAGTCCATAGGCTGAACGAAATTCGGGACCCACCGTTTCCATCACTGTAAAACACACTTCCATTATCTTTTGATCTAGATCATTCAAATCATGAAACATAAAATAAATATTTGAGATTAACATACAAATCACAAAACTTGTAGCACCGGCTCCGGAAACTCCGAGAGATATAAAGAAACGAAGTATAGTAAAAACAATAAAATGATTAGCAAAAAGACAAGCTACATTTGAAACTAATAAAATTCCAAGAGCAGTGAAAAAAATTGGTCGTCTTCCAAATCTAAAAAATAAAAGTAGACATTCAGAGAATTTTAAATTTAAACTTACTCCATCCAATAATAAACATAGTATCTAATCCACAGATAATGCACTATGTTTATTTTATAATACTGTCGAACATTCAAAAATTCAAATCTCATTTCTTCTTTAAAAAAATATCCATAATAAGTTTTAAAAGTCCTTTAATAAAGAGATGATTTCTAGTAAATTAAACCTCCTCTTACTAACAAAACTCCTATTAATCATCATTTATTCAATGTTATTTTAACAATTTAAACAGTCGATAGTATTTTATCATAACAACAAAATAAAAATATATGTTATTTTTGTGTTTGAATGGTGAAGTTAGAAAAATTTATTGTCATTTCAATGAGTAACCATGTGTTTCTTAAAAATTATGGATTTAAAATAACTCTCAAGATCTAGTTTTGTTATTTCTGGTATAGACATTTTTCAATTTGTCACTACTTTTATTGTTTCTCAAATAAGTGTATACTTTCCACATTCGTGCTCGATAAATACACGTGCATGTCTGTTTTCTGATTTTTTTTTTCCAATTAATAATTTTTTAACTCAAATTCACAGCAGCAAGATTAAAATTTAACAATTTTATTTTATCAGACCATACAGAAACCACAAAAGACCACAATTGTTTCCCATCCAGTTTATATCTAGAAACCTGTGAATAAGAATTCAAAATAATAGATTTTTCTTAAATTTTCAGAATTTGAAAGTATATTTTATAATTCAATCCAAATACAGTTGAATTTTGCTTTAGAAACTCATCTAAACAACAGTTTATTCTACTATTTTAATTATATTTTGTGTATTTACCAATCTGCTTAAAAGTTACTCTATTCAAAAATTATATTTATGTATTATATATGTGCTGGAAACTTAAATCACTTAGTTAAGTATAATTATAAATTTGCTTAATTAAAATTAAATGAATTCTCTTTAAAAGTTTTATAAGTAATTTTGGCAGTTTTCTCTTAAACTACATCAAAATTGTGATAAGTTTTGGGGATATGAAATCAGATCAAAAGCAAATGAAAATTGCATAACTGACAAAGTATAAAAATTTTATTATAATGTTTAAACAAACTTATTCAATTTATTTCATTTGAGTTTATATCTATTCCCCTAAAAAGAAATTTTCATTTTAATCATCAGTCAATATAATGCATATAAAAAAAATTTCTCAGGTCAGTTATCTAATTCTGATTTCTTAATAATAATTTTACCAATACAAATTTGCAAGGTGTTAAGATAAACAATTAACTAGCATTATTTTTTTGCTGTTGATTTATATTTTAATACTTTAGTAAGATATATTTAAAAAGTTTTAATAAAAATTCTGCTCTAAAACAATTAAAAAAAATTAGTTTTATTTTTATTTCCATAAAGGAAATCATTGTTAAATAATATTTACAATTTATCAAATAACAATATCATAATAAACTTATTGGATATAAGATATGTTGGTTAATATTAACAAAATATTTTGATGAGTAATCATTAAAAATTAGCTGAAAAATGGGTTGTCATTATGATATTTTATACTTGGTTAAATAATGCTGTATCATGTTAACTATTATAAAGCTCTATATGATTATATACATATATAAATCAGTTTATTTGCTATTTGTGTAGTTATGTAGATAAGAACACACTGATAATATTCAATATGGAGATTTTATGTAAACTTATCACTTGTCCTTTCGGGTAATTCGTAATTCACAAGATAATATAATGGCAACCTGAACAGTTCTGTAAATAAGTAATCTGATTATTTGATTTACAATTTTCTTGATTTGTTTTATTCTCCTGACTTAAACATTTATTTTGTTAGGAATTTTGTTTTATATGCAGTTACATAAAAAAAAATTTGACTTGCTAAACTTCAGACTCATCAAATTTAATTCTTATCCATTACAAACAGAAAATTTTTACAAAAATAAAGTGTGTGTATTTAACTTATAATTACAACTTTTATTATAATGCATATGGAGCAAAATTCTGTTTTGGAAAAATACAATGATGATTATTGGGATAAAGTAAGTTTATTCTCTAAGTTTTATGCAAAGAAGAAATAGAATAATAAAACAAATTTACATTTTTAATTTTAATTATTATTTAATTTAATATTGAAAATATTGTAAATGAAATCAGTGTTTGTGGTAAAAAAATTGCTTACCTGTCAGATAACTGGCCAAACACCAGCATAGAAGTCATATAACCAGCCATGTATACAGACTGACTAACAGATATTAACCATTCATTTTCACATACTAAATCCCACTGAAATAATATAATTTTTGCTTTTATTAATTTTGACTTTTACTTTAATAATACTAATGGCATGGACAATAACTTACTTCTTCGATAATTGTCGAACGGTAGAAGCTGTGGTCATATTCCATTTCTGTGCACGGTATCTTACTCTTGTTATCCGGTCCCATAAATTCACACTGGTGTTCTCCGGGCGATGTCCGGTTGGTCTCTTCGGTGCCATTAGGATGATCCGCGCACCAGTAGTTGATATTAGGAGCGAAGAAGGCCACCACCAGATTGTTCCAGGCAGAAAAAATACTAATTACTGAGCTGATGAGGAATGTTATCTTCTGCCACTTTCCATTTTTACCAAAAACATTGGTAATATCATTTGAGCTGTCTTCCTTCTTTGGATCATCAGTCATTTTGGGAGGAGATTCTTAATCTTATCTATTAAAATAAAATATAATCATTTATAATTAAATCATAAATCTATAATTTTTATTNTTAATGGCTGTATTTTAAAATCTTTCCAATGTTACCCATTATACACCATGGTTTTAGAAGACAGAACCATAGGTATCTTATAAGTGTGACAATTTTTAAGTATGATAGTTTTATGTCAGTGAATATGACCTACACGCCAAGAATTTTGTCATGTTACTAATTGTGTTTTTTAATAATTTGTAGTATTGCACTTAAGAGGGACTTAACATTTATATAAGTCAGAAATGCATATGTGGAAACAATAAAAAGAAGTGTCTAACCTGAAAGCTGTAATGATAGTCTACCATACTTAATGTCGGATTAAAGAGACATACATACATACATAGATCATAATAACAGCTACCAAAAGTGATATTTAAAAGTTTATTATTCATAAGAAATACAGTGGCAACATAACAGAATACTCTCAAACTTGCAGTTCTTATTGTTTATTTTTATTATTTAAAAATTCCCATAATTCCATACATTCCATATGTTTAATCAGAAAATAATTTCTTTAAATCAAAATAATAATTTTTTTTAAACATACTTTTCTAAACTCTTATTGCTCTCTCAGTGATATTTCTTTAATAATAAAGAAATTTTTACTGTCTGTCAGCATTAAATGCTTCTGAAATGTATTTTACACTTGTTCAAAAAGGTTGATGCGTTGTAAATTTAAAAAATGGTTAATACATCATAGTTCTTAATTGTTCTATTAAAATGTTGTAACATATTTATATTCTATTGTTCATTTCATGAAGAAGACAATTTTGAATTTGTCGAAAATGTTTGTGCTTGTCATTCTCAGTTATATATTAAAATCTCATTTAATGCTGACTGACAGTATAAATTTCTTTATTATTGTAAGATATTGGCATACCATAGAAGTAAACTCTTGTGTGTGTTATTTCTTTATAATCAACTAGCAGACCCGCCATGCGTTGTTGTGGCTCAAAATGTATCTATTATAAATGTATAACACTTCCCCCGTGGGGAGGAAATTTTTCAAAAAATTTCTTCTTAGTGTACATTCTCTTGATGTACCCTATTAAAATGCAATCAAAAACGCAAAAACCCACATCTAAAATAGTATAATAGAAGCCAAGTTCTTCACGGTAAGCCTTAACCATCTCCCTTCAGTGGGGGGATTTCGACATGTACTGTATATTATATAAAAACACATGCGTATTCGAATTCAGCATTGTGTCAAAATTTCAAATGAATCAGTAGGAACAAACGAACATTACATTTTTATTTATATAGATATATAGAAGATGATCTGCTTTAGTTTGTTTTCACAGAAAAGCACAATGCCTCACAGAAAAGCAAACTTAGGGCATCATACTCGTAGTGCCATCTGTTGGGCATAAAAGCCTTAACCTAGATTATATCTTTTAATTTATATGAATGTTTAACGGAATAATATACAGCCTATGTCCACCCTGAAGTTCCATTCTAAATATTGGTGAAAGAATTTTTGAAATCGGATGAGTAGTTTCGGAGATTACCCGCTACATCCAAACTTACTTACAAACATTACCTCTTTATAATATTAGTATAGATTTCATATTCATTATATTTTTCAGTTAATGAATATTGTAATTATTCAATTTTTAATGAATAATTTAATTTACGCACATTTATTTTCATAACATATTCATTTGCTAGCATTTTATGAACATATAGAATTACTAACAGATAAGGAATAAATTCATAACATTTAAACATTTTATGAAGGGAATGAATAAATTCATACTCCAATAAATTACATTCTGCTTAATATTTGCTACAAGATTGAATTGATCTTTAAAAACTATATTTGTGTAACATTACTGTTCTCAAACTGAAGTTGGAGGATTCTCCATTTGAAAAATAATAGTAACTTAGATGATGATAATTTGAATGGTTAGAACATTTATCATAAACAAAAACTGAACACAGTTTTTAGCAACACGTAATTTTCATTGATAAAAACGTATAAAATTTAACATACAATTTATATCAAGATAGTAAACTTTTTCAAGCTAAGCTCATTTAAGTCATAGGCTGAAGAAGTGACAAAGAGTATATCTTGACAACATGCATACAAAAGTTTTGTTCATTATTGATGAGATACAATTATTTATCTAAATTGGCAATGATCCATTCAGATTCTCATCATACAACACTTTCAATAAAATAAAATGTTGATGAACCCTATATAAAAACTAGTTTAGTGTTGTGGTTTTTGATTAAAAAGCTTTGAGTTTAGGAACTCTGAGATTTTTTTTTTATTCATCTTATTCTATTGCTGTTGAGAACAGAATAGATTCTGTCAATTCACATACAAAAGAATGCTATTTGGTAACTGTGGCATTTTTATTAGGAATGATGCAGGCAAATAAGTTATCTATTATGTTAGGCTTGGATTTGGCTCTTAGACTACAGCATTATATGAACCAGGATGATCCAGCCAGCAATGTGCCAAGATCTAATAAATAAATAATGTTCATTATATTGATTTTGATATCACCATGATAGTTGACATTGTAATTAAAAAGATATTGCTAATTTATTCATGTTGTATTTTTTGAATTGTTTTGTTATGAAATATTTTGTTCGTTTCATTTATTTGAAGCAGTTGAACAAAAACAGTTTTCATCAATATTCAAAGTGTATTTAAAAGGCAAATCAAAGTTGTAACATGCATGTTTCAATGAATCTAAAGGAATTTTGGGCAAATTTTGTAACTGCTTTTGTGCTTTTATAATTATTAACAATTTTAATTTGATTGATTATGTTAACTATTACCATATTCACTTTTCACAAAGAATTCCAGAATATGACATAACAAACGAAATACTTTATTTATTTAATTTTTTTAATAAAATTCTGTAACAGTTTTATAAATTTTATCTTTACANACATTGTTTTTTTTTTAATTTTTTTCCTCCTGTACGAGCACTCTGCAGTTACCTTTATCGTCAGGTGAGAAAATTTGCCAAAAAGCTATTTATGAAAGCAGCTAAAGAGGAACCAGACGACACGCTTTCCTTTTCTTGTTATTGTATAAAAATATACTCTATTCATACATACATTTAGACATTTGAGAAATACCAAAAGCTTAAAGCTTAAAATCTATCATAAAGTATATGTATAAATTATCAAGTTTTATTAACCTTTACAGGATTAAAACCTTTTTAATTTAGAAAATAAATTAGCTTTTTTTCTTTTTTAGTTCGGATTCCTATAAAATGACTCTCACATTCTTGTATATTTTAGACTTAAATAAGCATAATTTTTCATTAAATTTAAACATAAAGGAGTGAAAATTTCTAATTTCTGCCTAATCCAATTTTATTTTACACAAATGTAAACACCAAATATTGTTTAAAAGTTGTGGATTCTTCTCGAAAGTATCCAGAGATATAGTAAAAATTATGTAGTAAATATTTATTAAGAAAGAAATCATTTTCTTATCAGTTGTTTTGACTTTATCTTTCATTCGGTACCACTATTAGTTACAGGAAGTTGAACCAAAAAGAATTTATAACAAGAAGCAATGCATCTAGGGAAAGAAAAGGGAAAAAATGAGAAGGAAATTGAATTGTAACGACGAAAGAGAAGTTATAAAAGTGATTTTTTATTCAAAAACATGTTATTGGAATTTATGAATAGAAAGCATTAGCTGAATGATTTAATATTTTACAATAGCAAAGATTAATTTTTTTTTTAGCTCCGAAATTTTATCGAACTTTCACTCGAAAATATAGAAAAAAAAAGCAATTTTTCGGGGGTTAAAAAGTATCGAATTTTTAATTATTGAATATTGTGATTTAGTGATAATGGTAGGAGCCTATTTTTGCAAAAATAATGAGAATATCTTTTTTTATTGTTATTTTATTGGTAGAGAGGGAGCGGTAACCTTTTAAGGAGAAGAGCCAACTTTTTGGCATTCCTGGAAAAATGAATCAACTTTTAGAATGGCATATGTACAAATGAAACTAATTTCAGGTATTTTTATAGTAACTTCTTCTCTACGCTCGGAGTACATTTTTATTTATTTATTTTTAAAATCTTAATTCTTCATTCACTCTCTTCTGATCAAACAAGCAATATTAACTAACCTATATTAAGCTATCGGAAAAATTATTTTCGAGACAATATGAACTTTAAATTTAATTTATTTTCTATTAATTAGCGTTTTATTTGATTAAATAAAAATTTCCATATGTAATTAATCGGCTTCCTTAATTATTTCAAATATAAATAGCATTTCGGTATCCGAGGATGATATTTAATTATTGATTTTCTTGGCCGTTCTGTTACGAAACGTGGGAATTTCATATTACGAGAAAAGGGAAAAAAATTGTAAATTCATCGATCTCCATGGCAAATTGTATGACACGCAGAACCTTTATCGTGCACGCAATTTGTAATTATTTAAAAGTATATATAGAATATAAATTATTATACGTTCCATTGTCGTAACAAGTGTAAAACGAGACACTGCGTAAATATTACGAGAAAAATATTAACGGCAGCGAAATGTTACGTAAAAGATCGTGTACAATTTCATTATAAAAGGAATTTATTTATCGTCAATTTTTTAAATTTATTTTACTTCCTTAAACAGTGTTTTTGGACTAGAAACCCGGACATGTATAATTTTTTTTTTTAATTAAAATAAGCAAATTTTGGCACGAACTCTAAACGATATCTATGTAGGTCGGGAATGGTGAAGTATTATTTCTTAATTATTATTTAGGCTAAGGATATGTTTGTCTCCGTGTTTAGGTATTATAAAGCTATATAATACAAATATAGCGCGTCGGATTTTGCATTTCTTAATTAAGGATCTTCGGTTATGCACGCCATCTCCAGCAGATGGCGGTAAAAATTTTATGTTTTTTTCTATGGAAAAATCCCCATAAACGGAAGTGGATAGAATCGAACGATTTTTTGCATTGAAATTCTACTTA